GTAGCTTCTCCATTGCCGGTGGAAATAAAAGTTTGTTCTTGCAGTGTCGGCCATCGGAGTACGATCAGAAATCTGAAGAAGATAGATGAAGTTGAGTTAGTTATAACAAAATAATAATCTAGATCAAGAAAGAGGGGGAGAGAATATTGCATTACCAGTGGCTTTGAATGAAGGTTTGTTTGGTTCAGTGTTCATTTGGAACATTGGTCTTTTTATATATAGGTGGAATTGAGTGTGTAAAGAAATTTCCAAGCAAACAAAAGCTTCCAAAACTTGGTCGTCTATTTGAGTTGTTTGAGCCCATTTGTAATTGGGCGCAAAGGTTCAAAGGGTTTTAAAGGTTTGTTGTCTAAACTCTAAAGTGGCGGGGCTTGACGTTGACATTAATGTGTCCATGTGTTTTTTGGGGTCATTGTGGGACAGAAGATGTGAGACAAACTTAAATTACTAGATTGAGTCTAACATCAATGTTCTAACTTCCAACACTCACTTTTGTTTTTATTTCTGAAAACTATTGGAACAGCTTATAAATCATTACTAAACACAGAGCAATACAATCTACTGTTCCACCCAGCAATTATCGAGAATATCAATCGAGCTTTTACTGTTATACTATGCGTGTATGTATTTGTATGCATCTATATACGTATGTATATACATTATTATATATATACATTTGTGGGGTGGGTCAGGGTGTTGTTCCTCTTTTTTCAACCTGGGTTTCCTGGAAGTTTGCAGAAATGATACCGCGTATATTGGTGCTTGTTGAGGTTGGGGGGGCGTTTCGTGAAGATTTTTACAAAACTTTGGGGGTTTACCTTTGTTTGACTAGCTATAATAGAATCATGTGACCATCTCGCGCTTCATGGACTAGGATGAACCTATGAACCTTAAACGCTTACGTTAGGAAAAAAAAAAAAAACCAAAAACCTTCAATATCTTATACCTGGAATATATATATGTATATATATATATATATATATATGGTCCCACAGTTGTATGTTGTGACTTGGAAAGGCCTCATAGATCTGACATTTTGAAATTTAATTTCAGTGAGTTGAGCAGATTTCATCTTTAATTTTAGTAGAGGAGTTCTAAGATTAACCATTCAACTGCAGGTTCTTAGAACCCAAAAAAAGTTAAAAGAAAAAAAATATACTAATTTGTTTTGCAAAATTGATACTAATGACCAACAATCAACTCAAGTACTCCCTGAACCTTTTTTTTTTTTTTTTAAAAAATGATAAATACCCTTACACAAACTCAAACATTCCCAAAAATAACCACTATGAGGTTTGAACGATCACATTCCATTTGGGGAGTTCAATAGTTTACTGAAAAATACTTACTAATTAAGTTGCATTGTGAATTTGAATCAACTCATTTACTTGCAATTTTCATTCTTATGGAATTTAAGGTCATGATGATAAATACAAATATTTACTTCCAAAAAAAAAAAATGTTGCACAAAATGCTACTTTTTTTTTAAAAAATTCTTTTTCTACTGAATTAGAGGAGTGTCCCACTCTTTGGGTGGATCTTAATCCCTTCTCAATTAGCATCAAAGCTCAAAAGAAGTTTTTTTTTTTTTTTTTTTTTTTTTGTCCTTGAGGATTTAATCTCAATATAAAAATGCCACATTTTTGCTCATTCATACTTAAAATATATATATATTTGTCATTATATGGTTTAGTGGGTTAACGCTAACTTGAATTGGTGGAATTTATTTGTGCGAGTTCGAGTTTCAAAGTTGCTGCTTTGTGAAACACTTAGAGCCAGTCCAATGGTGTAAGTTTTGGAAACGTTGGAGTATCCAATTGGGGGGCCCAAAATTTTGGATCGCCAAAAACGGCGACCCAGTTAGCGATTGCGAGTTCATTTGGTTTTTTTTTTTGTAAATTTTTTTTTGTTAACATTTGTGGCTCAAAACCCATACTCAATTTAAGGGCGTGTTTGGCTGTGAAAAAAAATTCAAAAATTAGTTTTTTTGCATTTTTTTTCCTCAACATAATTGAACCAAATAGCCATTAAGGCAATGTTTGGCTATTGTATTGTATTGTTTTAATTTTTATAATCCATAGTAAATAGTGCATTGTTTAAATTTTGTGTATGATATATTAGGAAAAAGTTAAAAAAAAAAAAATTATTAACAATTTTAAAAATATTAATATTTTTTGAGAGTAAAAAATGTACTATTAGAGTACATGAAGTTTCCAAAACAGTAACGTGATTCTCGAAAATACTGACATAGATTTTAAAAAAAATACTATAACAAATCTTGAGAGCCAAAGACTATTGGAGTTGCTCTAATGGCTTAGATACGTCTTGAGTCAACTCTCACCAAGACCCAACTGTAATGGGACCAAATTTGAATAATGTCCCGAAAAGGCATTTCTATACCAAAAGGGCCAGAAAAGACACCCCAACCAACCCAAACCATGAGTTGTGTCAAGAGTCCTGCTGATTGGGCCAAATTCGGCCTACATTTTTTATATCTATGAGGGCCAGATTCGGCTCATAAATAATTAGAGTTTGTTTTTGTCACGTCACATTGCAGTTTATGGGCCGAATTAGAATGTGTTTTTGAAATGTTACAACTCACATGGCCGTTATCGACCCATCTAACATCAACACAAGTAGAGACAAAAATCGTCAAATACTTTGACCCAACAAGAGATGATAAAAGTGGACCCCCTCTGGTCAGGAACACTGCAGTTTCTTGCAATTTGGTTACGAAATTTTTTGTTTGAATGTGTTTTTGTCATGTTACATAACCATCCTATCATGTCCTCATTCTGTTGCACACATATATAGACTACAAATAATATATATAAACACTAGTACTAGCAGTGAACCCATGCTGAAATGGATTTCTTAATAAAGATTGAAGGAATAAGATAATTAATAACAAATATTATGGGCAAAAGAACTTATAAAATATTTTTGGGAGAAACAAAACCTGGAATAGGGAGGAGAGCTAGGGGGATTAAATTTTTTTTTTTTTTTTATCACGTTAGTATTTACACACTTTATTTACATTGGACTTGATCAAATTCTTTGATAATGAAAGAAGGGATCGGTCACGTGTGTAAAGATCTCAAAACATATAAACGTAAAATAATTGAGAGTGATCGAGATAAGAGATGTAAATTGCAACGAGTTAAAATCATAAAATTTAAATTGAAAATTTTGAGACGCCTAGCTCAACATTTGTTACGAATTGAAAACAATAGTTTTATGAGTGGAAACTTCTAATAAATGAATAAATATAGGTAGGATAAAAAAGAAAAAAAAAAAAAAAAAGAAAAAGAGAGAAGAAAAATCCTCTTCCAAAATGGCGACTAAATTCAACTCTAGATTTGCCTTGACCCCTCACCAATTTACTAACGGGACTATATAGATGAAAATGTTGACCCTGCGGTACTAAAAAATATATATATATATATAATATTTCTAAATGTGTCACTTCAACATCACCATACTCTTGATTCTTGAATAGAGATTGTTTGTAGTATGTTTCAAAAAGCATTTTGTAGTATAGTTTTCAAATGAGGCTCGTGCATGTTGATTTGTATGTTTCAAATCATTTTGTTGTATGGTTGGTCAATGATCAATAAAAGAGTTTGTAACTCTTGTCAAGAAAACAATCAATTAATAATATTATCCTATTAAAATTATATACATATTTTTGCATCACAATAAACTATAAAAACTATATAATAAGTTGATTATGTAACTTATCGTTTTCTTTTTTAATTACTCATCCCATTTCAGAATAAAAATCATTAATTTCTAGAATTTCATGTTTTTTTAAGGAAATATATATTGTGTTTCTATACTAATTCATAAATCAAACTCCACGAGGTTTAAACAATTATAATATTAATACATTCAAATTTTTGCATATGTAAAATGATCCTCGACATCAAATCATGGGAGACCCACGTGAATGTGTATTGATTAATTATTTATTTTTTCCATTATTTGCTATTAAATGTTCCAAGGCACTTATTTTGAAACAGCCAAATAAAAATAAATACTGTATAATTTTTTTTTTGGGGATAACAACAACATCAACAAGAAGAAAAACCATATTTGCAAATACATTTATTTGGGTTGGTGGAATTACGTATTTGAAAATGCATTAAATATATGCTTCTTTTTAAAATTTTAAAACTAACCTACCAAAATTTAAATATGAGTAATTTCGTAATACCTTTGGCTCTCAGCTTACCTTAAAAAGAAAAGATAATGACTTAATTGTCCTTAAAAACACACATTCACACTCTACAATTATTCCAAAATAAGCTCTTAATGTTTAAGGAATGTATTTGATAAGATATTTAATTTTATCTTATACACTTGCAAGATATTTAATATATATATATATATAACCTCACAATTTGAAGGTTAAAAATTCCAATTCCTTTTAGACCATCATCTCTAAAGTATTCTCTAAAGAATTTTTTCTATAATTGTCTAATGCCTGTAAAATAAGGGACTATATGTGCCTGGTAATAAATTATAGAATAAACTAAAAAGTCTGATATCACAATCGCCTATAAAAAAATATATATATTTAATTTTCTTTACAAAAAAATAAATTACAATTGTTTTTAAAAGAATCTCACCCTTTCTAGTTATTTCAATAAAAAGAATTCTTACAGTCCATTTTCAAATGATTCTTATGTTATTTTATTTACTAAAAACATATAAAAGGAAAGTGCGACAATTACTTAAAAAAATCAAAATTTTTATATCAAAAATAAAATTGTTGAGACTTGAGATACAATTTTTTTTTTTTTTTTCTTCTGAAATATCCAAAAAGAAAAGTAACTACATGCATTTAGGAGGAGTAGTTAGAAGGGTGCAAGCAGACCAGTGACGAACTCGATCACGTGTCAAACGCGTCATGATCTTCGTTGCCCAAAAGATGACGCCAATCATTCATTTATGTCCATATACATATATATACATATATATATATATAGATATATAAGAAACTTTCTCGGGAAAGTGAAACAAAACTTTACGTTAAGGTTCTTATCCATCAGGATCTCTGCTTCTTTTCCATACTATTTACTGACCGTTAGCTCCACCAAGTCTATTGCAAGAGCTCGACCAAGAGTAATTGAAATCACACACATATTACATATATACATACACACGCATATACATACGCATATTTTGTGTGAATTAGGGTTTGTGTAAGTTCTTATCTGACAGAAATGGAGGGAATGGATCACCTAGCTGATGAAAGAAAGAGGACTCAATTTGATGTTCAATCTATGAAGATCGTTTGGGCTGGTTCTCGCCAGGCATTCGAAGTCTCTGATCGCATTTCCAAACTCGTCGCTAGCGATCCGGTCTCTCTCTCTCTCTCACACACACACACACAATCTTTCGACCCATGCCACCGGGCATTCCATATATATATGACAATGCTCTCGAAGCTAGTCTATTTGAACTGACTTCTTCATTTGCTTATATATTGACTCTGTCGTGGCTTTATTTGTAGATTGTGACAGTATGTCCCTTCAAATATATTTCTGAATTTCAGAAGTAATTAAAGATTTTTGATTGATCAATTGTAGGGATTTGTAATTTCTTTTTATTTATTTATTTTTTTTGGATGCAACTTTGGTAATTTATGTTTTGATATTTTTCTCTTCAGAGGGGGGTTTGTTTAGCTGTTTAGAATCATCTGATTTGGGGGCAATAAGAAATAGAAATACAGTTTTTTTTTTTTTTTTGGGACGAAAATTTGATCTTTAACCCATAATTGTAATTATTAGGAACTAAATCAATGGATATGGATTAACTGTTCAAGCAATCGGAGATCTGATTTGGGGGCGTTAGTGGGAACTCTACAGTCAGTTTTAGTTTGTAGCTTAGACAATCTCTCTATTGATCTTATTAACGTACAGACATGGGTATATAGATAATTGATAGGTGGATGAGTATTGTTTCCTGCTCATTTTGACATTTAGGGCTTACATGAAATTGTGATTGGTCACATTATTGGGGAAGGAATTTGCTCATTTTTCCCTTAAAACATTTTTTTTCGTGATCTTGTTTGGTACTTGCACTGGGTTTTCACACTTTTTATTTCTCTAATGTTGTGGGATTTAGGCCTTCCGGAAGGATGAGAGACCTATGCTTGCGAGAAAGGAGTTGTTTAAGAACACTCTCAGAAAAGCGGCATATGCATGGAAGCGGATCATCGAGCTTCGTCTTTCTGGTATTCTTCATCCAGGGTTGTTGTGTTAATGTCACTTAACCCTTCTTCTTTTTCTTTCTTTTTTAGTAGTGGAGTGACTTGTTTTATGTTTTGCAGTAGATAGTACATGATTGATTTATATAATTTGATTAGCTTTGCTGCTGTGATTATTACAGAAGAGGAAGCAGCCAAATTAAGGTTTTTTGTTGATGAACCTTCTTATACGGATCTTCATTGGGTAACTTTATTGTTTTTTATTGTTATTTTTTCATTTGTTTATATTAAGGTTCATTGGCACACTTGTTGGAGGATAACAACTGAGCCCAGAGTCGATGTTGTATTTCTAGGCATGAGAAATGATAAAACTTGTAGGCTCCTTATTTTGTGTTTCATCTTTTTTTTCTGTTTATTTTGTTTACAGGGAATGTTTGTACCTGCTATAAAAGGACAAGGCACCGAGGAACAGCAAAAGAAATGGTTGCCACTAGCATACAAGATGAAAATAATTGGCTGCTATGCGCAAACTGAACTTGGTCATGGCTCAAATGTTCAAGGCCTTGAAACCACTGCAACATTTGATCCCAAAACGGATGAGTTTATAATTCATACCCCTACATTGACTTCAAGCAAGGTGAGTAAAATGGTTAATCAGAGTGTTTATGTAAAAAATTATATATCCGTAAGATAATAACATTTTAAGGTATCAATCAGACAGAAAAGTCATTTTACTGTGTTTTACTTTGGGATATCATGTGGAAAAGACCACTAGAGCATTTCCCTTTTTATTTATTTATTTATTTATTTTTATATATGTATGTGCCTTGTGTTATCCGATATGCTGTCAGTTGATTATGTATAGCAGTTATCAGACTGGTAATTTGGATTATTTATCATGTTTGCTTATATTGTTATCTGCTTTATTTTTATGTCTCCTTGATTGAAGTATCTCTGATTGTATTATCATAATTCTTGCTTTTTATTAACAGTGGTGGCCTGGTGGACTTGGTAAAGTTTCCACACATGCTGTTGTATATGCACGCCTTATAACAGATGGCCAAGAACATGGAGTGCATGGTATGTACCTAGTCCATTGTTTAATATTATATTGTGAAAGATGGTCTCGTAATTCTGTCTAGATACTTAATTTTTCCCCAGCAAAACTAGTGGAATTTTATTCTTTGTAAATAAATAATTTATAGGTTTTATCGTCCAACTGCGGAATTTAGATGATCACTCACCTCTTCCGGGCATAACTATTGGTGATATTGGAATGAAATTTGGAAATGGTGCATACAACACCATGGACAATGGGGTTTTAAAATTCGATCACATACGTATTCCAAGGAATCAAATGTTGATGAGGTATGTTCATATTAGATTTTTTTGCATATGCCACTTAATCTTATGTTTCCATAAGCTGCAATAGGTTTTCTGAATTAACCATCTTGTTGAGGGTTGGAAGGTTAAAATTCAATATGGTACCTCAAAAAAAGAAGGGACAATTTAAGAGATTGAAATAAGTTACGTCAGTTTTCATGCCCAATTCTGTAAACTTCAAAGAAACTTTAAAAGTGGCAAGAATATAATTGATGTTAAATTTTGACACCTTTATTATTTTTGTATACAACTCTCAAATGGAAAAATATGATCTGAATTTATTATTTCGTCAACTCAGTGAAATACTCGATTCCTGCTAACAATTATATTTATAAGCATTCAGGATCGGACAGTGAAGTTTGTTTGTTTGTTTCCTTCTTTTTTCTTTTTTTTTTTTTTTTTTTTTATCAGGGTTTCACAGATTTCAAGAGAAGGGAAAATTTCACAATCTAATGTTCCCCGCCAGCTAGTTTATGGGACTATGGTGTATGTGCGACAAACAATTGTAGCTGATGCTTCATGTGCTTTGTCGAAGGCAGTTTGTATTGCCACGAGGTACAGTGCCGTTCGTAGGCAATTTGGCTCTCAGAATGGTGGGCCTGAGACCCAGGTATTCTAGAAAACCTCCATAATCATTCCACACAGGGATATAACTTGTTTCGATAATAAAATATGCTCTGAATTACTGCCTTTGCACCACCAAGTGCTTAGCGTGTTATTACCTTCTCCTTTCAAATGGGGGTGTGTAATTTACTTTCCAAAATAATAATAATAATAAAGAAAGAAAGAAAGAAAAGACTGCTTTTGCCTGCACTGTTGTAGATTTTACTTTCATACTCCAGTCTAGGGCCTTATTTGATGGAAAATCATTATAGAGGTGATTTTAGTTACCAACATGCTGATTGCAAGAGAAATACTCGTGGTGGATCAATCACTTCTTAGAATCTCCTTGGTTATATATGAACCGGTCCTGGGTTCTTGGGACCTGGGTTCTTTCACTCGTAGGGTCACTTACCCTCTATTTACAATTTTTGTTACTCTAATTTTTAGGTGAGGAATGTGCCTTTCGAAAATATCTTTTTCTTTATTACTCCATTGTTCTTTTCCTCTTCCTTTAAGACCTTAAACCTAGTTACAACCTCTGTTCTTCAAACCTCATTGAACCCTGTGCTGTTGTTTACTCAACTTCCCTCTTCATATGTAATCTGACGTTCCTTATAAACTTGATAACGAATTTGAATTTACTTCTCAAATTTATCAAAAGATTAGGGTACCATTCATCACCCTGTTATGTTTAGAATACCAAAAGATCTAGATATTTGCACCAAGTAATTCAATCTTGTGATAGAGATCATTTGTTTTACATTTTATGTGCGCACTACGTTAAATGTTGGGGGAAAGAGGGATGGGTAGGGAAAGTATATGAAGCTGATTGTGTAATTGGATCTGAAAGACTTGAAACTTGCACTGCTTACTCTATCCATTTTCATTCCTCTCCTCTGGAAACAAGTGGAAACCTTGACTTTCACAGTTTTCAATAGTTCGACTTGTGAATCATGAAATGTATATAAATTCTACAACAATCGAAGGATATGGTATAGTTTCTAAAGGTCCCACATCCATGTATATTCGTTCTTATATTAAAATGGATACTTTTAGTTATCATTGATGGATACTGATGGAACAATTTATGACATTGAGATGATGCCTCGAAATGGATTTTGTTCATAAACTAATAGGGTTTATAGTCTAGGCCAATGTTTTTTTAATCAGCTCACATATTTTCGCAGGGATCTTGAAACATGCCATGTTATAAAAACAGAGGGAACCTACCTGATGGACCTGATGCTTGTCACCTGGTTCATTTCATGGTCCCTACTAACTTCCAAATCATTTCTTTAAGCAAACACTTTCTATTTTGCGAAATTTATTTGGAGATGACCTATTATGGGTTTTCAAGCATTGGGGAAGTTCCCATACATAGACAGAAGGCCATTGCCTAATACCGGTCCCATCAATGTTAGATGTTGGGAGGGAATATTGGAGACAGACCTTGATACCTAACCTTGTTTGTTTGGTTTGTTTGCATTTTTTTTTTTTTTTTTAAAGTTTGGATGGGGGCCATCACATATGCTGAACTTCAAACAGTAAGCCTTGTTTGTTTGTTGAACTATTGAACACTAGTCTGGTTAGTATAACTTTGAATATTGAGGTTACTTTAATCTGTAGAAAATATGGGAGATATAGAACACATATATGTTTGTGTTCCAGTTTCACAAGTAAATTTATTATTTTCTAGTACTTATTTTGTCATTGTGACATCACGGTTTGATCTAAATGGACTCCGCCTTTATATCATTGACCCTTAACCCAGGCCCTTTTCCAGTTAAGTGAACAGTCCAGATCACGATACATTGGCCTTGGTATGATTGTGTTCTATACTTTTTGTGCTTCTGGTGAATTATAGAAATTAATTCTCTCATTAAACTTGAAGAAGATGTGGTTTATTCTTTGCTATTTTCTTGGTCTTCAGGTGATTGATTACAAAACTCAGCAAAGTAGGCTCTTCCCTTTGCTGGCTTCTGCTTATGCTTTCAGATTTGTTGGTCAGTGGTTAAATTGGCTATATATGGATGTGACCCAAAGATTGCAAGCAAACGATTTCTCGACATTGCCTGAGGCTCATGCATGTACTGCAGGATTGAAGTCTCTGACCACTTCTGCTACTGCTGTAAGTAATAATTACTGATCATTATTATTATTTTGCTTGTCATATTTTGTTGAACTTTGTCACATTTCCTTTCTCTCTCTCTCTCTCTCTCTCTCTCACACACACACACACACACACACACACAAACACACATACTGACAGACATATGTTCGGTTCTAGACTGTACTATTGGGAAAAGCTAAATTTGTTAATATTCTTGTGACATGATGAAACACTTTGATTAGTATATTCAATTAGCCTTTCTTTTCTAGTCTGGAGAATAATAAATCACTAAGCATTTGCTTGTTATTCTTTTTTGACCTATGGATGTCAAATGGGGACAAGTTTATGTTTTCTTGATTTTTATTATCCATACTTTGATCTTTGATGTTTTGGTAAATCTAGTTGATTGCTTCTTATTCTCTCATGTGCTGAAACTAGAGGAGGAGTCGATACTAAATTGGAGGTTTGGAAGGAAGCTCTAGAATTATAAGATTTAAGATAGGTAGAAAGAAATTTGAATATATGGAGCGTAACTTTAGTAAATGTAGAAATACAAATGGGGATGTATTGATGTAATGAAGTTTGATTATCAAGAGATACAAAAAAGTTAACATCCTCCCACTTTGTTTTTCAGGAAGTTCATTTTTTCTCCTTGATTCAACTTTTCCTTTTAAAATATCAGTTGTGACCAATAGCTATAGACTTGTATTGATGCATGGGCAGTCTATTATTGTGCCTTGTATCTGACAAAATAGTAAATATGTAATTTATATCAAGGATATGTAATGTTTTCAATTTGGACCTATCCATTGAAGAGAGAGAGGGAACATATAATTAACTCATGCACTGTATCGTGTATTCTTCAAAAGGTATGACTATGCTATAATGCTAGTGAATACATCAATATTTTTTTACCTCCAAGGGCTGTAGCCAAGGGGTACTTCTCACCTTCCAAAGCAGAGGTCAAGAGTTCAAGTCCCCATAGGGGCAAAGTTGGTGTGAGTTTAAAAATAGGGTAAAAAATATATATCAATATTTTCTCAAACTTTTTGTTGCGTTGAATGCTTCTTAATTGAATACCACACACTTTCATTGCAGGATGGGATTGAAGAATGCCGTAAATTATGTGGTGGGCATGGTTACCTCTGTACCAGTGGGCTACCTGAATTATTTGCAGTATATGTTCCTGCCTGTACATATGAGGGGGATAACATTGTGCTTCTTCTACAGGTATGTCATTCGTGGCTATTAATATATAACCTTTTTTAATTTGCTTTTCTTATATACTTGCGTATGGTAGATTATTGAGATACAGACTGCTAATTTTACTCAACATGCTGCACTTGTGGTCATTTTTTTTTTTTTTGTCTGTGTTGTGTGTGTGTTTTATTTTGAGTAAGATTTGCCTCCTTTAAACAAAATTACTCCTGGAGACCTTTGGACTGCAATAGGTTGTTGATTAGATTGGACCAGTGGAATAGTTGTCTGTAAAGAGCTCCAAACTCGTCATATTATTGTTAATGATTTGTGCTACTTGTTTGGGCAAATTAAATTCTCTTCACTTTGCTTATTTTAATTTTAATTGTACAATTATCAGGTTGGACCTTGGTTTCAGAAATTGAAAAAATAAAGTTAACATATTTTTTTTTTTGACATTGATCACCTTGAAAATAAATTTTATTATAAAAAAGAAGGTACAAGTGGATATTTTTGGTTTTGGCTTAGAATTTGTTTGAGCTTTGGTTGATATAATCTAAATGTGGCCCAGCTTATGCTTATGCCTTATAACTTTATTATTGTGGCTTACCATTAATTCAAATAAATGTGAATAGTACTTCCACTTTAGCCTACTAGAAGATTTAAATGATACTGTAATTCACCTGTATCATTCCATCTTGTTGACTTGAATGTGTATATGTTAAGCTACATAATGGGTGGTGTGTACCAACTGAACATCCTAGTGCTAGTTTGGAGTTTAAACCAGAAACTTATTGACAGATAGGCTTGGCAACACACTATTTATGCAATTGCTTGTACCGCATTCTTTGCCTATAGTAGGCTGACATTCTTCCAAATATTCCTGCTGTAGGTTGCAAGGTTTCTCATGAAAACTGTTTCTCAGCTGGGATCTGGAAAAAAGCCTGTTGGGACGACAGCTTATATGGGACAAGTGGAACAATTGATGCAACGTCACTGTGATGTCCAAAATGGTATTATTTCCTCTTTCCTGGGTGCTGCTGTAATCTTTCCGATTGTGATTTTTTTTCATGTGTATAAAGGCTGAGAACATACATTGCTTGATACCACAATCTGGGCTTGGAAATTTACTTATAATCTTTGGCAGTCCTTATTGCTGCCTCAAGAATCTTTTCTGTTTAGGATTCATCATTATCTTACGGAATTATACGGAGTAATTCAGAACTAAATCAAGTCTAAGATAAACCTTATTGGTCAGTCTTCCAAGAATCTTGATGGCTGCTTGCACAGACATACATAGCTTAGTAATTTTTGCTTCTTTAACGACCTGCAGCTAAGGACTGGTTAAAGCCTAATGTAATACGGGAAGCATTTGAGGCAAGGTCTGCGAGGATGTCTGTTGCTTGTGCTCAAAATCTAAGCAAGTTTGATAATCAGGAAGAAGGTACTGCTCTTTATGCTTTGATTAATGTTGTGTGTTTTGACATCTTTCCATGTTCTTACTCTCCAAATTTTATTGAGCCTAATGGAGCAAGTGAGGAACATTGGATGGTGCACTGCCATCTTCTTTTAGGTTGAGACCACTAGCTGTTAAATTGAGCTGTATCTCCTGCTAGTCCGCATAAAGGAGAGTTGCAGGATCCCATTGATGGGGAGGCGGGTGTGTGTTGTACTAGTAAAAAAATTCGTATCTTGCTTGGTAAATTTGATATGCTTTACCGGCCTCTGGCCTAGTGTTATAACCTCCCCAGTCTCAAAGAGGGAGGGTGAGGGGTTTGAGCCTGGGCGTGGGCAAAAGTGTGTGTGAGTACTTATCTGATGGGGAAAAAAAAATGATATGCTTTCTGACCAATGATATTTGATAGGTTGTAGATAAATCATTAACAATTAAATTTACCAAGATGATACCCCTTAATGGTTACCACTTCTGGCATGCATGCTGTATGATGAGAATAAATTCTATCTAAAATTTCTATTGCAAGTTAATTCAGTTGGTATATATATATATGCTTCAAATAGATGTATTACCTACTAATTTTTACTCTCGATCAGGCTTTGCGGAACTCTCAGCTGATTTAGTGGAGGCAGCAGTTGCTCATTGTGAACTAATTGTTGTTTCCAAGTAAGCTTTTGTCTTCTCTTGCATTTGGCGCTCTTCTTGAGCATCGATAGTATACTCTTATGGCAGTAACAAAATTGATTGACATTAGTGACTCAATCTGTTAATGAGTCTTCAACAGCCTTGTGTTGCTGCATTCTGGTGGCAGTAACAAAATTCATTGACATTAGTGAGTCTTCAACGGCCTTGTGTGGATGCATTGAGTTGCTAATTGGACTGTTTCAATATCGTAATAGTGAAGGCAGAACTTTTTAAAATATTATTGCACTCGATGTTATTCCCATTCCCATTAAAATGGGGCCCTATTTACTAAGTATAATATGACAGTTCTTTATCTGGATAATAGTCGAGGTCACATCTCGATAAATTTTAGAGCTAGTGAATAAGCAGAGAAAATACAGCTAAAGCAAATCATCACTTGATCCATGTCTCAGCTTTCTCAGTCCAAGAAACACCCTTCTTTTTCAGGTTCATAGAGAAGTTACAACAAGACATTCCAGGAAAAGGGGTAAAACAACAGTTAGAGGTGCTCTGCAACATCTATGCCCTATCCCTACTTCACAAGCATCAGGGTGATTTCCTCTCCACGGGCTGCGTCACTCCTAAGCAGGCTTCCTTGGCAAATGATCAGCTCAGATCTTTGTATTCCCAGGTTTGTCCCAAATAATGATCTCCCTCTTCTTTCACTTGTGTGCTGGAAGTGCAACTGCCAATTCATCAATACTCACTTGAAATTCTTATTATGCATTAGGCTCGTCCAAACGCTATTGCTCTTGTGGATTCATTTAACTACACTGACCACTTCCTCGGTTCGATTCTCGGCCGGTACGACGGAAATGTGTATCCAAAATTATACGAGGCGGCGTGGAAAGATCCTTTAAATGACTCAGTTGTTCCTGATGGCTACCATGAATATATCCGGCCTCTGCTGAAGCAGCAACTCCGAAGTGCTAAACTCTGAAAAAAACACTCCACCATTGTTATACTTTGTAATGCTAATAAAGTCACCCCTACATGATGATGACTTCCAAAGTGAAGGTTGTTTGGACGTGGTAAATTAAGCCGTTATATTGACAATTTTATCCGCATGTCTTGTTATAGTGATTAGGTAATTTATGTTCTGAAACTCTTGCCGTCAGGCAGATTTAATCTGTTTAGACTTTATTGTCTATATTTGGATTTTCTGTCATGCACTTGGAATTAATAAATGAAAAGATGTTAGTCTTAATCTATATTTAATTGTTCCGACCATCGTCAACTGGCAAATTCTGTTTTCTCTGCGAGGAGAGAAAAATATGTTTTAGGAAAAGAAAAAAAAGGGGGTTTTTAACAAATGACATAATTGGTACTATAATCCCATAAGAATACATCATTTTTGTATTTTTAATTGTTCCGACCATGATCAACTCGCAAATTCTGTTTGCTCTGCGAGGAGAAGAGAAAAATGTGTTTTAGGAAAAGTACAAAAAAAATAAATAAATAACAAATGACATAATTCGGTTATTCTTCAACCCAGAGAATAAATTGGGTGAGTTATTCTTCAACCCAGAGAATAAATTGGGTGAGTCGGTTATATCACCCATCAAAATTAAACGTGCACACGGTTTGGATTGGACCGTTTGGAAATATTTTGGAACCAAATCATTCATAACGGTTTCATAAAAATCAGAATTGAACTGAACTGTGAAATCAATGAAACGAACCAAACAAAACCGTGAGAAAACGGTTTCGTTCGATTCGGTTCCACGATTCAAGGTTTTTATAATTCAATATATATATGTAAATTAAAAATATATATTGCATATAATATAATTTGTTATTATACATTATGATATATAGTTGAGTGGTTAAAAGACTACTCTTATTATTCTATTATTTATATAATACAAAATATATAAATTTGTATACTATTTATAAAATGGTTCCGGTTCGGTTCGATTTGATATTGTAGAATTTCAAGCCATAACCGAACCATTTATAAATGATTCCATGTTTTTGAAATCGTAACCAAACCGTAAAAATCCAAACCCAACCAAACTTACCAATTCGATTCGATTTAACCGGTTTTTTTACAACCCCTCATCAGAATACATCATTTCTGAGGGAAGGTTTTTATTTGGGGCGGACTTGAAAGAAATCACAACCCTTGTTAGCAAGCTGGTAGGCCAATGGGCCAACTTGATTTAATTGTTGTGATGTTTTTATTTATTTATTTATTTTTCTTCTTTTTCTTACTATTTCGTGATTGGTAAGCACTGAAGGCGCCAAAATGGATCACAATTGGCAAATGGCGCCAAAATGGATCGCAATTGGCAAATGACAAGAGACTGTAGAATTTAAATTACCAACGGGCTTTTACTGCACTTTCTCGCGCCAAAATATCACCTTATTTGGGATTCCAAAGAGTCACATAAAATGTCTAAATTCATTTGCATCCTCCGATTCCATGCCCCAAAATTTACACATGTGTCTGTTCAATTCAAGCTTTATTTCACTCTCTCTATATCTGTGAATCTATACACATATATATATATATATATATGTATGTATGTATGTAGTTATTCAACATTCCTTGGATGCACCACTTCACATTCCCATAACAAATCACTTCAATATTCTTTCAAAAGTGTGTTCAATTTCTTAGTCGCCAAACATGGCAGGAATAGGAAGCCTAGTCGATCTCTTGTTGTTCTACACACTTGAGAGAGTACTCTTCAATCGAATGGTTAGCCAAATGTGCAAGAACCCCCAATCGGTCAAGATGGCCATGTCCCTCTGGCTCATGCTAGAGGAAATTGGATACTATGACTTGACTCGAATGGTCAACTCATTTGATGACTCGACCATTGAAACCATTTTCAAAGAGTCCTTAGCTTGTCTTGAATGTATTCAACCAGATGCAGTAGAACCTACCGAATCAGATGACACACCGGTCTTCGTCAGCCTCTTCGACGAGCCCATGAGCCGGAGGTTCTTCTACTACAACCGCGAGTTCATGTATAGACGATATAATCATACAATGGACACGGTGTGTAACAAGATTTTTGGGGAGCGGAGTGCCATTGAAGTTTATGATCAGTGTAGTGCTGCTGAAGCAGTGGTCAGACCAGTTGGTGAGGGGACTAGTGGTGCAGCTGGGACGTTGTTGGCGGGTGGCTCTGGTGAAGAGTCGTGTTGCCGCGGTGGTGAGGCACCTAAGCAATCCACATTAAACCCTAATGCTAGTGATTTTGTTCCGGGACAAACTCGTGATGATACTAGGACGATGTTCTTGACCTTCTCCAGGGGCTTTCCATTAAGCCGCGAAGAAATCATCCACTTCTTCACTTCGTATGTGTACAATGTTGGTTCTTGGTTAATGATCAGGGAAAGACAATACTATTGTTTTTACATTAAATGGGTATTCAATATGCGTATATATGTGTGTAATGTAGTATGTTTATAATTTGTGAATTGTTGTGTTTGTAGGAGATGGGGGGATGTGGTTCAGGATGTGGTGGTGGAACAAGCCGGCGGAGGAGTGCCACCACTGTATGGGCGGATTATATTCAAGACGGCCATGATCATCCCAATCATCTTAAATGGACAAGCCAAGGCAAAGTTCTTGCTCGGACGAAAACATTTGTGGGCAAGGATTTATGTGCCACGTCATCAAAGATGAAATACCATCCTGGATGAAAATGGGAAACATTTTATCTTGTTCACATTTGATATATGAAGTTACAAGGTAAATTTTGAAATATGTGTAATCATTCGTAAACCACACATAACGTAGTAGACTACAAGATAAATTTTGAATATGTGCAATCATTTACAAATCATAGTAAAATTGATTGTTAATCTTTAGACATTCAATTATAGAACCATGATTCTCTTTTTTGTGCAAAAATTAATTTGTGATCTCAATGAATTTACAAGTTAAATATTGGAGTAGATTATTGTTTTGGTAGGTAAGTTCAAAGGAGGATAAAAGAAGGGCATTACTTACTGTGTTTGGAAGGGTCTTTTCTTGGTTTTGGTAACAAATAAATTTTGCAATTGAAACCTCTTATTTGTTTTAACAAAAGTGCAATTATTTTCTTTTGTACCTGGCTCTAAAATCGCATAAATAGGCACACAATTTCTTTTAAGACATAGGCCAAAAACATTCTTCATCTTCCTTCTCTCGGAACTAGCTCAGTGCACGATTTTTGTCATATGAGAAGAGTTAGATGCACGTAGTCTTATCTCTGCATACAGTCGTTGAGGTCATAATAAAATTACGTTATCATTCCATGCACCAAATCCCATCCTCATGATTCGTGATCGCTTATTCACTGAAATCGAATCGCAATTTACCAGAAATGAATGAGGAAAATGTTCCAAACCTATTCGAGGGTCCCGAACAAAACCTCTCCAAGTTTTTATGGTTTGACAGCAATCTTGACTGGAGGCTACTTAACAAGATTGTATGGGACTAACCAAATGCTGCAGAACTCATTGAATCATATAAGACATTCCAGAGTTTGTCAGCCATTTTTGGTGAGCTGTTGAAGTGTTGAACCTTCTGTGCTTCTTCTACGCCACGACTTCATGTGCAGGCATTTCAAGCATCATGTGTCCACCACTCCACCATAGGCCCTTGCTCTGACCGTCGAGGACAATGCTAGTCGTCACAGCATGATTCTGGTGCAGATGGTGAGAAATCGGGAGTCGTGATGACACCGGAACCTAATCAATTAATGCTAGTGAATTGGTTGTACTAGAAGAACAAACTCCATTGATAGGCTTGTTACGGTTTTTGTCAACATGTTTGATGAGCTGATGAACACCAGATTCTTCTACAAAAATCGCATTAACATATACGCACTACATAGTATGGACACAGTATGCAAAATGTAATTCCTAAAAACTATAGTTGATGGAATGCTCAGTGAGATCAATGGTTTTGTTTCTGTTTGTACATACATACGAGACCCATATTTTTATAAAACAAAGTATAAACGCTATAATGAGGTGCATCTCATTAGAACAGTATGAGAATTAGTACAACTATTAGAGTGAAGAGAACTCAAACTTTCCTTCTGTTTCTTTTAATTAAATTTGATCGAACTGAAACTTTATATTTGACTAGCTCGTGTGATTTTGTTTTTTAAAATATTTTGACGCAATTTTTTAATTTAAAAAGATCACGAGAGCAACGTGATAAGGTGATTCTTATATGCTTTTTCAAACTCTAAATGAGAGCTCATTGACAAAAATACAGAGCCTTCCTCAAGATGATAATAGTTGTAGAGAAAAAACCAATTTGGAGAATATTTTTTTGAGCCCACACCCAAAGTCGTGATTTGGGGGGCTGAAAGCCGACCCCCTAAACATGACAAAATGGTGTGGATCCTATAACACCACAAATGCAGTGAACCCACCCCGGCGGCCCTGTCTTGCTCTAATCAAATTTTCTATAACACCACAAATGCAGTGAACCCACCCCGGCCCTGTCTTGCTCTAACCAAATTTTCTTTAAAAAAATGATATGTAAGTTAAATTCCTCAGCCGAAGTACTTGCATCTAACATATGCAAGTTGTCATGTGACTTCGAGGTCAAGTATGAAGTCCTCTAGACCTGTGTATAGCGTAGTCCTAAAATTAATGAGTCCTGTGTCTTTCCCTTCCCCTACTCATGAAAATTGCCACAGTGAGATTTATTTTCAAGAAAAGTGAGCACTCAAGTTTAGACATCATTGTAATACGATGAGTTTTAGTATCATACAAATTAATTAGGGGTTTTTTATTTTTTTGGTCGTCGTCTTGTGGATGCTTTCGGATCACGTACTGATCATATCTGGGCCAATCTCCAATGAGGATATAGGAACACGAGATCTCTCTCCAATGAGGACTTTGGAACATGACAACACTCCAATTTTGATTAAGATGGGACAAGAAGTCTTCACTACCATTCGAAAATAACACATAAAAATATCCCCATACCTCTTAGCTAATTAATGTAAACATGTGACTCATATCCTGTGATAATAAACGACTACCATGTTATACATATTGGCCTCTATCATACTCAAATGTGTGAAATACATCGAATAATATTTTTGTTTTTTGTATAATAAGTTCAACAAGAAATCGAATATTTGGTCAGGTGGTCATGTCTGTCATGTTTGTATATTTTGGAAGTATTAAGGCCCTTGGATATTGATAAATACCTATATATTTTACTTTAGGATAATTTATACAAACTTACCCTATGATTTGTCATAATTACACGGACCTCCACTCTAATTTGAAAATTTATTCGGATCTCCCCTAACAATGAAATATCCTACACAGACCTCCCTTATGACCACGTTGCCATATGAAATTACTAAAGTACCCATCTGAAACTCTGGGCTTTTTGTGACGTCGGCGTATGCTTCAAGTACCAGTTACCCGGAGAAGATCTTGACATGTTGATATCGATCACCAATGATGATGATCTCGACCACATGATGCATGAGTACGATCGGTAGTATCAGGCGATGGCGAAACCGGTGAGGCTGAGGTTGTTTCTCTTCTAGGTGAATGTAATACCCCTAATTTAAAAGGATAGTCTCGGTATTTATTTTATTATTATTTTTGTTGTATTTTTGCATGATTATTTGGTTTAATTAATTTATTTAATTGTTTACCTGTGTGACGTGTATTTAATTGGTATCTATTTATTTGTTTAAATTGCATTTTATTTTATTTAATTGATTATTAAAGGTTTTAATTTAGGAAGTAATTTAGGAAGTATTTTAATTAACTATTTTTTTCACAATTGAGGGTTTAGTTTCTTTAGCCGACACAAGATTTAATTAAGTTCTATGGGCCGGTTAGGATTTAGTTAGGACTTTAATTAATTTAGGATTTTGGTATAACTCTATAAACATATGGGTATACGTCTGCCGAGGGTTTCTAAAACCCTATTCACCATATTCCCGTATACAGTAAAGAGAGAAGTTGAGAAAACAGAGCATCGTAACGGTCTGTCAAGGAGAATAACAGAGAGGACCAAGGGAGGTGTTTGGTGGATTAGATCAGAACCAGAGGAGGCTAGAAGGTAGTCAGTGGTTGCCGGAAAGCTTAGAACAACGGCGACAAGGTTCTGTTTATAAAACTGTACAGGCAAGTTCTTCTCTTTCTCCTTCCCTTCTGTGCACCTAGATAGTCTCTAGGGATTAACTAATTAGTAAATGAAACTTATGTGTTTAATGTATGCTTGTTGATGATTCGTTTCCATTGAATTCAAATCTGTTTACAGTTCATGTATTGTTGCTCCCAGTTCTGTTTATTAAAGCATATTAAAGTCTTTGAGATTTTAGTTACGATTCTTGCCTCTATCTTCTGTAAACAAACCCTGAGGATAGTAATGGGTTGATATAAGACTCCTAAGATCAGTTTGTGAAGAGAAACAGAGAGGTTGGAATAGAATTATAGTTTCAGTTTTGTTCCTAACGCGAGTTAGTTCGGTAGCAAATTTAATCTCTGTAATTGTTTTTAATTGTTGTTATCAAGCCATTGGGATGCTACTGGGTATTAATATGACACCTAAGTTTGGTTTTAAAAACTAACAGAGGGTTAGGAATAAGCCGGAGAAGGAGCACAAGAGCTGAAACGACGCACCGGGGACGAAGGCTCTCGGAGGAGGTGAGAGCCGGCTCCATGGAAGTGGGAGCCGGCTCCCACAACAAAGTAGAGCAGGCTCTAAGAAGTCCTAGAGCCGGCTCTAGGCTGGAAAAGAGCCTGCTCCAAATTCTGGAGCAGGCTCCCTTGTTCTTTTTGGTTTATTTTAATTTTTTTTAAGTTTTTCTACGTACTATGTTCACTGTTTGGGCAATCTGGGTTATTAATCAGTTTTAAAATTTTAGTTGGGTGTAAAATAATAATTTTAACTTGTAACTAAGGTCTTGAATTGCATAAATTTACCCCTTAGTTTAAATGGAATTAACAGTACGCTATTTGACAACTTTGCGTACAGTTAACGGCTGGAAGGAGATTTGTTGATTAATTTTAATCTGATGGTTTAGGGTGCTATAAAATGATTTTAAATTTATTTTTGATGCACGATGAAGTCTTTTAAAGTAATATATTGGACTTGTGGCATAGTGGGGGCTCTGTGCTAAAGGTTACAACACAGTATAAGTATATGACTTAGTATTCTGTTACCGGATGGAGGGAACTAGATCGCTTAGTTTAATTTAGCGATTTATTGGACTATAATATTATTATAGAACTAATTTTAAATACATGATAGGGTCATTGTTTTTATTAAATTTGAACTATGCATGTGTTGGATGTTAATTGTTAGAATAGTTTATTCTCCGATGCAATTACATGGATTATTACTGGATTTTATTTGCTAGATTGTTAAGATTCCTTCTGCAAGTATTGGATGGTGGTTTTTGGACTGTAAATTATTGAACTGTTATATATGTTGTAATTTACATGGATATGGAGGATTGTATGTACCGGTATGGGACGGTGACATACTAGGGACGGTTTAGATCAAAACGCATAAACCTAACCTAATGGATTAATGGAATGGATTGAAAGATAATGAATCCTAATTGTGGCTAAGTCAGATCAGCTGTAACCAAGTTGGATGACTTCCTGGATTAACGGATGGTAGTTAAATCATATCTACTAAATAAG